ATTATCTTGGATGTTCTAGACTAAAATTAACAGAATTATATAATATTATTGATATTGAAGCAATTAAAAATAATGTTCATATAATTCCACACTTTGAAAAAACTAATGATTATTTAGTAAATAAGTATGAGAATTATAATTTGGTGCATTATGCACCATGGTGTACCCCTGATCACAGGTATAAATAGTGATCATCAACTGATTAAATCAGTTGAATTTTTTTTTTTGTTTCATACTAGTCACGGTTAATATATTTGGTGTTTAACTAACGTCTTTTTTTTCAGGTAAGTTTCGCTTGTCTTCTTAGAATCAAAACTTCCATTTTGGGCGTTGTTTCATTTTTTTTGCGTTTTCAGGTGGGTTTCTCTTGTCTTCTTGGAATCAGGCTTCCAGTTTTCTTTGTATTTCTCAGGTAGTTTTTGCTTGTCTTCGTGTTCAACTAACACACATTTCTTTTTTCAGTAGGTCTCACTTGTTTTTCTTGGAATCAAGGCTTCTGGTTTGGGCGTCGTTTCGTTTTCTTTGTATTTTCAGGTGGGTTTCTCTTGTCTTCTTGAAATCAGGCTTCCAGTTTTGATCGTTGTTTTCATTTTCTTCGTGTTCTCGTTTTTTTCGTGTTCGACTAACGCCCATTTCTTTTTTCAGGTGGACCTCGCTTGTCTTGAAGTCAGGACTTCTGATTTTAGGCTTTGTTTCATTTTCTTCACGTTTTCAGGTGGGTTTCGCTTGTCTTCTTGAAATCAGGCTTCCAGTTTTGATTGTTGTTTTCGTTTTCTTCGTGTTCTTAGGAGGGTTTTGTGTTCGACTAACGCCTTTTTTTTTTTTTCAGGTGGGCCTCGCTTGTCTTGGAGTCAGGGCTTCCGATTTTGGGCTTTGTTTCGTTTTCTTCGCGTTCTCAGGTGGGTTTTGCTTGTTTTCTTGGAATCAGGGCTCCGATTTTAGGCGTTGTTTCGTTTTCTTTGTATTCGACTAACGCACTTTTTTTTTCAGATGGATTTCGCTTATCTTCTTGAATCAGGCTTCCAGTTTTGGGCAGTGTTTTCATTTTCTTCGTGTTTTCAAGTGGGTTTTTGTTTCTTCTTGGAATTATGCTTCTAGCTTGGAATCAAGACTTCCGTTTTGGGCGTTGTTTCGTTTTCAGGTGGGTTTCTCTTGTCTTCTTGGAATCAGGCTTTCAGCTTTCTTCATGTTCCTCAGGTGGTTTTCGCTTGTCTTCGTATTTGACTAATGCCCATTTCTTTTTTCAGTTTGATTTCATTTGTCTTCTTGGAATCAGACTTTTGGTTTTGGGTATTTCCTCGTGCTCTCAGGTAGGTCTGATTTGTCTTCTTGAAATTAGGCTTCTGCTCTTTGTCGTTGTTTTCATTTCTTCATATTCAACTAACGTCTCTTTCTTTTTTTTAGGCGAATTTCGTTTGTCATGGAATTGGCTTTCATATAGTCGAAACGTTTTTGTATGGGCTTTTTTCAAGGGAATTTTTTTCGGCTTTGTTTTGTCATTTGGTGTGTGAATACACTAATTTGTTTTTCTTTCCAGCTAATATGTAGAATTAAACTTTGTTGCGTTTGTGTTTCATCGTTGTTGGCACCGTGTTGGTGATGAATTCTTTGTTGGTGTTATAGTCTTGTGGTTTCACCATTAACAGGTCTACTGTTGCTAGTAGTAATGTCATTTAGTTAAGATTAGGGTTAAGACATTAGGATTAAGGTTAGAATTAGAAGTTAGGATTAGGGTATAGGTGTTAGTTAAAAATATTTGCATAACAACGTTGTTATGCAGCACAAAAATGGCCATTACGCAGCACTATTTGTTATATATGTACATATAATATGATAAATAAAGATTATTTTTTATAAGTATTTTGATTTTTATAATTATTTTATTAATGATATAAAAATTATGTAATT